AGCCTAAACAAAAACTTCAAGTTAAAAAAAAGATACTCCACTTGAAAGCAAAGCTAGCTAATCATGTGTTTTTATGGAAATGTTTTGCTAAGAGACGGTTCCTGGTGAGAAACTTCATCTAGAAGATCAACCTCAAAAGCAAGGCGTTGGGCACGGGTTTCACAGCATTGGGAACCACCTCCAAGCCCGGAGAGCTACTGCTGTCCCCACCTTAGGAAACTGGAGAGGCTTTCACCCAGGTTCCCATTATCCCCTGAATTGGCCATTTGACACATCACCTTTTGTGTTATTCAGCCTGCTCGGGGCAAGTGTTATTTGTAGAGCTGCTTATGCCACAGGACCAAGGCGCCCCAGCCAGCCGCCCCAAGGCAGGGGACATTGGGGCAGGATGGGGGGACGCAATCAGGGAGTCTGTGGGGTGCAGAGGGCTGTCTAAATAACGAGGCAATTCAGCAGTTAAAGCAGCTGCCACACAAACCCGTGCCCGCCGGTCCCTGGCAGGGCACACTGCTGGCACCACGCCGTCTCATCACACTACGTGCCTCTGGCTTGTGGAGCCCGGGCCCTGGACCAAGGGGCCAGAAGTAGCCTGGGGGGCACAGTGCCTGTCCTGGGGCTACCCCAGGCACACGGTGACCAGGCTCAGGGGGCTCTGGGCCACCACCTCCTCTGAGAGCCCAGCCTTCACTCTCCCCTCACCCCATCTCCTCCCTTGTGACTACCAATCCCTCTCCCTCCCTCTGTAGCCTCTCCTAGTTCTCCAAGAACCGTCAGTGAGAGCTGCCACAGAAAATAAAATGACTGTCATTACTATTTCATGATGGGCCGCAGGCCAGTCAGACAGCTATTACTATCATCACCACAACCCACCGAGTGATCCTGTGTGTTGTTCGGGAATACCTCGGGTCTCCATCCCTCCTCAGGAGCCCCGCAAGACCTTCGCTAGCTCCAGAGAAATGCACACACGGACACAGACTCACCCCTCTGGAGCAGGCGTATGTGGGAGTACTTCTGATAGCCCAGAATCAGGGCACTGCCTTTCACCGCTGGGTCTGTAACACCGCTTCCAAAACACGACCCGGACAGCCGCTCCCCCCCGCCCCAGCCCCTCAGATCGGGATCCCACGCCCCGAGACCCACAGTTTGATGGGAATGGGCCACTGAGTTCCCCTGTGAAGGAGAACCCCGCTCCCGCCTCTCCGAACTCCCCCTGTCCCATCGCGGGACGGGTCCCACCTCAGAGCTCCCACGGGATGGGGCCGACCGGCCGGAGCACCCACGCCAAGGGCACCCACCGGCTCCCGACCTGCTGTACCCCCCAACCAAATCAGAAGCCACTTCTTCTTCGAGATTTGTCATTCTGTTTTCAAAACAACGTCTCAAACTTCGGGGTACCAGAAGGTGTATCTGACTAATTAGAAGCAAATGTTTCTATTTCATGGCAAAGTACATGATTATTTGATATACATTTCTAGAAAGAATGGCTCACTCTTGAGCAACAAACCTTATACTGGTTTGGATTTGGCTTTCCAGGCTTGAGTACGTCTCCAGTATTGCTTCTGTTCAACCATGTTTCTTTCTGCTATCCATCTACATGGACAACATGCTTTTATTTCCAACGCATTTTAGGTAACGGCCTCAAGAATAGTTTTTATTTAAAACGCACACACGCACACACACACACCCCTCTCAGCACAGAACTCATCAGATAGTGTCAACAAGCACATTTTAATAGCATGGTATTGAAAAGTGATTTTACTATTAGCTAGAAAAGTCTGAAGACTGCAGAGGATATATTTAGATGTGTATAAATAGACAACACTCAGTGATGTCTGGTCAGAGGAGTACAAATCTTCCCTAATGCATGGAATATGCCTGGCCCAAAATGCTTCAATAGCACTTAGACAAGCCTTTTCTATTTGGCTCAAGTTCTGCAGGCCCGTTAATAGCAAAGCTATTAGAACGATTTTCTGGACTGGTTGCTTGCTCAGAGAATATTCAAAAGATTGCTCTATAAAACTGAACCTGCTACCACACCTGAAAGCATAGGCGATATTGATCAGCAATGGCAAGCCATTAGCTCTCCAGCATCTGAACGATCTCCATGTGCCCCCATGGACAGACAAGCCCTCCAGGCACCTCGGGGTGCTCCACCTCCCCCAGGCGCTTCCAGTTTGCAGGCACCCCTGCTTGCCAAGCCCGGCCCTCCCGGCACACCCGCCTTGGCGTCTCCCCACCTCGGGGGGAGAAACCTCACTCTCAGCCACGGTGGCGGCAGCAGCCCACAGGTCTGTTTGGGGAAGAGCTGGTTCCTTCTTGCCACGCTGCCCTGCCACATTTCTTCTCGAGTTCCCGCTGTTTTGCCCCACACACCCAGCAACCACCCCTTACCCTTCTTCCCCTGCCCTATGGCCGCAGCCTGTCACCGTTCACACCCCAGGTGGCAAACGGGAGCCCCTCCCAGCTGAGAGCTGTACGAAAATGCAAACCAAGACCCTAAGAAACCATCCTGAACGGTGCTGCATCACAGAGCCCAGCCCTTCATCCTGGTCATAAACCAAACTGAAGCGCGCAGCCAGCCAGCTCTCCCTGCAGCTGGACAATCTGGAGTCCACTCCCAAAGCTGCTCGTGTTTTGGTAAACAGGTGAACTCGTTCGGCTTTGAACTTGTACTAGGCACCTGAAATATCCAGGGTTTGCTTCCGCTGGCTGCACTGCCACGATGAAACCAGTAACTGCTCTTTCTGAAAGGAAAAAGGCAAGCTGATATGCCAGGAGAAGATTCTTGGTGAGGCTTGCAACTCGAGGCCTAACTGGCAAGCTCTGGTATGCATTTTGATACAGCCTCACGCATTTAAATGCATTTATTATGCATTTAAACAAATGCATAATCCCTTGAGTACAGTACGCATTTAGAAATGTAGACTGGGAAGGTGTTTGGGCACTGACAACACTCACGCTCTGGTATGGCTCTTTGTGCAGAACTGAACCTGACTCCCAGAGCAGCAGTGAAATCGCTGGCCTTGCTCTGGAGCCCCCCCCAGCCACCTCCCCCTCCCAGGACCGGCCGAGGCAGCACTATGGAGCCTGGGGCTGACGCCGAGGCGAAGCCCATAGACAGCCCACGGTGTTTGGGGATGTCTCTAAGCTACCGGGGAGCCCAGCCAGGTCCCTGGGGCAGGACAAGGTGCGGACAGCCCCAAGCGCCCAGGCCAGGGCAGCCCCGCCGCACACAGCAGAAGCAGTCCCAGCATGTGCAGCCCATTTGGGCACCCCCATACCACACCTGTGGACACATCCACAGCCAGGATTGGCGCTGCCAGAGCCAGCCAGGGCCCCCTCACGCAGGCAGCCACCCATGGACATGCAGCGGTAACCAAAAAGGCTCTGACGACCTGGGATGGATCCCCCTCCACCTCACTGGTTTGCGGCGAGGCTGCACTGGCTGGAACAGGCCTGGACACGCCAGCGCTCACTCGAGGATGCTCAGAAGGAATGAGCTGACACCACGCTGCTCTGGGAACACGTGAAACGTAAGCATGGGTGAGAAAGGTCACTATGAAGACGGCACAGTGACCAAGGTGCAGGGACGCCTGGCCTGTCCAGCTCCGTGACAGTCAGCTGGAGGCTGCAAAGGGCTGGGCTTAGCTGGAGGCACCCTGCTTTCCCACCCCCAGCCTGGGGGATCAGTGAGGTCACGTTCATACCCACAGCTGAGACTAACACATCCTTCTGCTCCAGGCACTCAACGCAACGAGAAACCGTCCCTGCCCCAAACACGCGACGGACCAGGCAGGAGGGGGAAAGCGAAGGTGCAGGAGAGGAAGCGCTGCTGTCCAACACCACGGATAGCAAGGCAAGAGGGCAGTGCTCGCGTCAACTCCCACGGCAGACCCTGTGCCCCCCAGCCCGCGCTGGCGAGCTGCCACACTGGAAGGGGCTTTCACGTGTGCTTCCAGCCCAAGCGTGCCCATGCTGCCCAGGGCGTGGCAGCCCCCAAACCGGGCCTGGGCCTGTGCTCGCTCCCCCCTCCACCAGCCTCTCCTCGACCCCGGCTGCTCCCAGGAACCAGGACGTTTGTGTGCTCCTGACATCAACATGGCTGCAAGGTTTCCGCCGGCTCCTCTACAACTGCTCTGCCATCTCCCCTAACGGGAACCTTCCAGCAGGAAAAAAAAAAGGTTTCTCTTGTCCTACATTTGCTTTCCTGCAGATGAGAGGTGTTCGCTCCACGGAGGAGGGAGGGGAGGGGAAGGGAGCGCGGCGCGTACGCATCCTGGGATGCCGGGGACAAGCGGCAGCCCTCCCGCACCGCGGAGAGCGGCGTGAGCCTGGCCGAGGGCTGCGGGACGGGGTGGCCGGCCGGGGGGGGCGCGCCCGGACCCGCGGATCTCCCGCTCCCTTCCGCGGGGAGCTCCGCGCCCCCCCCCCCGACCGCCACGGGCGGGAGCGGAGGCAGCCCCCACGGGAGCGCCCCCCGGGCCGGCTCCGCGCACGGCGGCGGCTCCGCGGCCCCTCGCCCGGCCCCGCGGTGCCGGCGCTCCCCGGGCGGCGGCAGCACCGCGCCGCGGCGGCGGCGGGGGGGGGGGGGGGGCGGCGGCTCCGCGGCACACGCGGCCCTGCAGCACCCCCGGCCCCGCAGCACCCCCGGCCCCGCAGCACCCCCGGCCTCCCCAGCCCCGCAGCACCCCCGGCTGTCCCGGCCGCCGGCGCCGTCCCGCGGGCGGCAGCGGCAGCACCGCCCGGCCCGGCCCGGCCGCGGGGCACCCGCCCCACCGCGCAGCCTCCGCGCCGCTCCGCGCCCCGCGGCCGCCGCCCTCCCGGGAGGGGCGTCCCGCCGCCTCCCCCCGTCCCGGCGCCGCCCGCCGCGCTGCGGGGCTCGCCCTGCCCGGGCCGGCTCGGGACCCCGCCGCGGCCGCCCCCCCCCCACGCCCCCCCCCCCTCCAACCCCCCTCCCCTCCCCGCGCCCCGTTCCCCCGCGAATAAGTACCGCGGGCTGCAATGCAGATGCAGCCGGCCGCGGCGGCCCCTCCGCGATTACCTGGCGCCTCCCGGGGAAGGACGGCGTCCGGAGCGCTTCCCCTGCAGGTGCGGCCGCGGCCGGGCTCCGGCGGGCTCCGCGGCGCGGCGGCGGGCAGGCTCGGCCGCCTCTCCGCCCTGTGCCGGCGCTCAGCAGCCGCATCCTAGAGCGGCTCGGCGGCGGCGGCCGCCCGCGGCCGGGGCGGGCAGGGCAGCCCGGGCGGACGGCCCCATGCGGCGCGGCGGCGGCGGGCAGCGCACACGCGGAGCGGCGCGGGCGGCGGGCGGGAGGCGGGGGCGCGGCGCGGGGCACGCAGCGGCGCAGCCCGCCGAGCCCGCGCGCATCGCCCCGCCGCGGGCGAGCCCGCTCCGCGCCCGCCGGCCGCTGACCTTGCCGCGTACCTGCGCCAGGTTAATCCTCGCTACAAGCGCTCCGCGGCGTAATCCCGAGCGGCCGGGGCGCTGCCGCCGGGACGGGCGGGGGGACGGGGCGAGGAGCCGCGGTCAGCCCCGCCGCCGGGGTGGCGGCGGAGGGAGGGTGGGTGGGTGGGCGGGTGGGTTGGTAGGCGGGGGGGGGGGGGCGGGGGTGGGGTGTGCAGCTACCGCGGAGCGGCCGCGCAGCGCGCAGGGGCGGCCGGCGGCAGGGCCACGCGGCTCCGCGCCGCTCCGCACCGGGCGCGCTCAGGCGGAGCAGCCGCGGCGCCGGGCGGGGAGCTCCGCGGCTCGCCCTTCCGCGGCTGCTGCTGCGCCCATCCTCCGCGCCGCCGGCTGCTGCCCGGCCCCGGCCCCGGCCCCGGCCCCGGCCCCGGCCCCGGCCCCGGCCCCGGCCCCGGGCAGCCGCGCCGCTCGCTGCAGCAGGGAGGCAGCCGCCGCCTCCCCCGCGCCGCGCCGCGCCGGGGCGGGCTGGAGGAGCCGGGCGCTTCCCCGCCCCGCCGCACGCACGGACGAGCCGCAGCCGCACCCCCCCCCCCCCCCTTCCCGCCGCGCCGGGCCCGGGGCTGCGCTCCAACGGGCGGGCACCGGGGGAACTGGCGCCGACACGGACACGGACGCGCTTCCGCTTGTCCCCGCCGCGGCGGCGGCCCTCGGGACGGCTCGGCCGGGGGAGCGCCGGGGCGGGGGGGGGGTGTCCCCGCTGCCAGCCCGGCGCGGGGCGCTCGGGCTCCGACTGGGTTATTTCTCCGGGAAACGCGTTCGCAGAAGCCACTTCGCGGACACGCGAGGGTAAGGGGCGGCGGGGCGGCTCGGCTCTGACCTGCATGGTGGGACCGGCGCTGCGCTCCCCCCCGCGGGCGGGCGGCCCTGCCCCGCCGGCCTCGACGCGCCCGGGCTGCGAGCACGGGCGGTGACCCCCTGACTTGTAGGAGGGGATGATCCTGGCAGGAAAAGGAAAGGCTGAGTTATCTTCGGGGGGTCAATACATTTGGGAGCTTTTGGGGATTTAGCGGTCGTTATCCGTCTCCGGGGATCTCTGATGGGGAGGAGAGCGCGTTTCGTGCTACGAAATACTGACACCTTTCTCTAATGCTCTTTTCTGAGAAAATGTCGGTGATGTTACAGGACCTGAAGCAGAGCAGCAAGAGGATCTAACAAACCCGCTCAGCTGCCAGCGGCCCTGCACCTGGAGGGAGGTGTAGGCAGGCACCCTACACCTGCCAGGCACTGGGCCCCGTCTCCCTGGACGCCCTGCTGCCGGGACAGCGGGCAACTGCCTGCTCCTCCGGGGCTGCCTGCCTCTGCCTGGCTCCTGCAGCCCCGGCGCTCGGGACGCTGCCTGCAGCCGGAGCCCCACGCAGGGCAGGCGCTGCCACAGGGTGTGGAGGAGAGCTCGTCCTCAGCTCCGCGTGCTCAGAGGTGACGGAAGCGATGCTGCTGGGACACACTGGCGTTTTGCTAGGGATGCGCGTGGGGTGAGCCCCGGCCCAGAAGAGGAAAGGTGCAGTGGCGGTCCTCACGCCTCCCTGCTGACGCTCTGCAAAAGATGTTTGTGCCTTGGGATCCAACGGCCAGCGTCGGTACGGGTGAGAAAAGGGAACGCGGCACTGCTCCCAGGCACAGGTCTGTCCATGCGGCCTGAGAAACTTCCTCGCCTTGCACACTCTGAAGCGGAAAGGGAGTTTGGTTTTGTGGTCTCCACGGCAGCATGTGAGCCTGGCCTAGGGAGGAACGCACCTCCCGGAGCAACAGCCATCCTCTGCCCTTCCAGCAGCCCCCGAAGCTGCCCCAGGGCCTGGCAGCCGAGCCAGGTCTCCTAGGGTAGCGTTCATCTCCAAGTCCCAGCTGCCATTTCGTGGAGCTGGTTCAGGTGGTTACAGGGGCAGAGAGGCTAAAGTGCTGGTGGGAGGGACTGAGTCTAAATCTTCCGCTCCCTTGAGACAAAACTCACATCATTAAGCTGATTGGGCTAGGGTTGGCTCTGCGGTTACCCTCCCTAACACTCTGTTCCAGCACAGTTGTCCTCTGGAGCTGGAGACAGTCTCGTGCTCGGCCCCGATTCAGCTTTCACCATGTGCTCTCCTTTGGAGAGAGCAGAGAGATGAGAGGATGCTCCGTGGTAAAGCGTCTGTTACCTTGGCTGACGTCTACAGGAGTAGACAGTCTTCTTGGGCTTCGTGCTCAAGCATTTGCTGCTCTGTCAGTTCTCTGCTGCCCTGGGAGCAGGACGGCTGGTGTAACTGCGATGCCAGCTCCGCGGCTGGCACCGGGAAAGGAAGCAAGTGTCTGGGTACGGCTTCCCTGGCGAAAGGGAGGTGAAAAAGCCCAGCGGGAGCTCAGTGGAACCTTGCGCTCAGAGCTTTGTGTCTACTGGAGGGTGCATTGGTTTGCTGCCACCCAGCACAAGCACGCCACGGGGACTGGTTCGGGACTACTCGGAACCTGGCACCCTTGCAGCACAGTCCAGAAACTCTGCATCCTCGCAGGCAGCTGCAGTAACGTCCTGAACTCTCTGTCCTCAGCACTCTGAGCAAGGGCTGCTGCAGCTTCCTTGCCAGCCTGAAATCCGTGTTGGACGTGGGGTTGAAATGGCACCACTGCCTTGCTAACATACCCAGTGGAAAAGCGGCTCCTCCCTGGAGTGTCTGGGCGCGTGGGGAGCTGTGGGTGTGTGGGGGAGGTTCTCTTGCTGATGGGTGAGAGGGACAGCCAGTCTGTCAGGTCACTGGATGGGTGATGGCTCTGACTTCACGTACTAACAACATGTCCCTTCCAGCCATCTCCCGCTCCCTCAGCCTGGTCGTCAGGCTGCCTCACGGGTGCTGCCCCACGGCAGCAGCAGTGCAGGTGCTGGGGTCTTTGCTTGGAAGCAGGGCAGCCTCAAAGGCATCGGGATGCTCTCAGCTGTGGTCTGCTTGCGGAAAGCAAGCCGCTGCAGCTGCAGGAGATCGTGTGTGTCCCTTCCCGGGAGCGTGGACTCTGGAGCTGGAGGACCCGTGGTTACGTGCTGCTGGGTAGTCCAGCTCTGCCCAGCTGCCCCTGTCCCAGATGCTCTTTGTGCTGGTCTGACTTGGCACTTACCCACCACCAAGTATAGCTCCGTGGCCAGTTAGAGCAAACCCCACCAGCTTTCAAACAGGAGCAGTCAACGCCTCATTTGATTCCGTGTCTGAGCATGGAAATCAGAGCAAATCCTGGACCCAGACCTAAGTGACAATGTGTGACTGCTGTGCTGTTGCAGCTCTTGCCCTGAAATCGTTCCCCTCCCATGTGTTCTTCCCCTCCCCACCCCCCCTCATCCCCCCCACCCACTGTGCTCTCTCCCTGGGGAGCTCCTGGCTGCCCCAGGTGACTCCGTGGAGGGTGTCTGTGCCTGAATGCTCCCTTCAGTGCCCGGGCATGGGCTGGTTTGGGAAAGACCTCAGTGCCCTGGGAGGGGGCAGGTCTGTGTCCTGGGGGAGCTGCTGCATGCCTGGCAGCGTACCCCCATAGATGGTGTTGGCTGCACACCCCCCTCAGGTCTGGGGATGCTCAGCATTACTCAGCTGAGGTCCCGCCTAGGATTTGCCCTGCCTTGGGGACCTCTCACTCCCACCAGGGCTCAACCACTTTCCTGGTAAAGCCAGTAACTCCTTAATCTAAAATATTTTCCCCTTCATAGGTAAAATTTTAAAATTATCTCATAAATTTTTTTTTGGGGGGGGGGGGGCGGGGCTGGAATAGGGAATGCTTCTTGAGGAAAGTGCTTTGTACAAACAATATGTAGAGCTGCTTTTATGCACTCTTTCTAACCCTTAATCACCTGAGAAGGAGGCACCTCAGGCCTGGGCACAGTGCCGCCTCACTGAAGCTGGCTGGTTATGGGGTGCTGTGCTCACCAAGCTGGGTCCCCACACCTTCCAGACCCACCCATGGTGGACACAGGAGGCTGCTTGTCCCTCATCGCTTCAGACCTCTGCCCTGGCCCCATCTCCTAAACCAGAGCTGTGCTTCGAGCTGTGGCTGAAGCAGGTCGCGTCCTTGGGAGCCGCGCCAAAGTGCTGAGCAAGCAAAACCGGACACTGTTGTTGGGGCAAGAAAGGAGAACTACCTCTTTTCGGCGGTGGCGATGGCTGTGCAGAGGTCTGAAGGAGTGACTCTTTAGGCACACGCCACTCGGCACCCGGCAAAGGGCTTTGCATTGGCACAAGCAGCCCTGCCTCTTCGGGCCCCTCCGGCTGTCAGTACAGCGTGCTGCGTGTACACCCTAAAGGAGACCGGCAGCAGTGCAGCACAGCAGCGAGAGCAATAGCCGGGCGCCCAGAAGTTGCAGCATCCCTGGTTAAACTCCTAAGGCAAGAGGCAGTAAATGTTGCTCTCAGGCAGGCTGTTGTGCCTCATCAAAAAGTCTTTGGAAACGGCAATGTTTACTCATCCTTACAAGACAAAAATTCAATGCCTTAATCACTGAAATGTCAAGTGCTGTGCTGTGTGGAGTGGATCCCCCTCTTCCAGAGCACCTGGGAAACGGAACGCTGCAGGCGGGAGCACAGTGCCAGCCTCTCCCTCCAGAAGAAGCAGTGAAGCCTCGTTGAGTTGCCCTGCTACGCGTTTCCCGGGGATTTTTTTTCCATTTTAAGTTCTTTAGTCAGTAAGATGGGGGAGCTGTTGCATTATACAAAAAAATGGCAGAGACCGTTCCTGCTAGTTCCCAGGCATTACGTCTCCTTGTAACCAGGCTGCAGCAGGCAAGAGGTGAGAAGGCTCCCCAGCTGCCAGGCGAGGCTGCAGCCAGCGCCGGCCCCCTGGGGACCCCGTGGTGCACCCCATTATCACCCTCGCCAGCCGGGAAGCACGGGGCGAGCAGCGCCTAAACCTGGCCCAGGCAGACAGCCTGCGGAGAGGCCCCTTCCTCGTCACTGCTTCTAATTCTATTTAAGGTGAACCGGCATCGTGTTTCTAGCCAGCATGTGTTGCCTAGCAGAGGTACCGAGCAGACTTGGTTCACCCACTGAAACCAAACCAAGTAAAGCGATGCTTAATAGCTGAAGTGCATCCTTTTTCACGTTTTTTAATTGGTTACAAAAAGCCAGTTGAACTTAGATTTAAATTAATGATGACAGGAATTGCACTGTCTATTTGCTTGTTCTTTTAACAGGTTTGCTTTTTGAGGAATAAAATAATGCACTGACATACTTCGGATTTTTTTTGGAAATCTGCATGATTATATGAAGATTTCTATCAGGTGGTACCTGGCTTCCAAAATAGCGGTTTATATCTTTCAGTACTTTTTAATCGGTAGATATAAGCTGGAGGACTAACACAAATTAATGCTGGATTTCCAGTTGCGATCGAGCACATGGGCCAGTTTTGCATTGTGCAAGCACTTTTTTGTCTGGGAAAGGCCCAGAGGCGCAGCTGAGAAGAGTTTGCTGTGCTGTTGAAGAGCCTTTCCTCCCACCCCGAGCCCCAGGGCTGGTGGGCAGGGCCCTGCATGGAGCTCGGGGCAAGGGGACAGCTGTGTCCAGCCACAGCTCCGCATCTGTCCTGGGGGAACTTTTCACTCCCAGGGCTGCCCCAGGTCCAGCCCCGCGGGCCCTGAGCTTGCCCCAGGCACGGCTTGTTCAGCTCGGTGTGCACAGGGATGGGGTGGGAGGAACTGTGGCAGATGGAGACCCTGCACATGAAATGGGAAGAGATGTATTGCAGGGCTGTAAATCAAAAATAGAGAATAAATCCAGTCATAATTCAGAAAAACAGCCTACCCCCAAAAAACCTGTCACCTGCAAAAGGCTGTTTCCTTCTGCCAGGTCTCATTGTCACCTCCAGACCAAGGGATGAGGGATCCCAGGGCAGGCAGGGTCCGAAGCAGTGGGGAACTGCCACGGGCTTGCCGCGGCTGCAGGGCAGCACCGACATGAATGTTGGAGCCGGGGCAGAGGTTAGATGAAAAGGAGGGGGCTGCTGACACCGTGGGCAACCCCATTACTCCAGCTGTAAACAGACATACAAGTACTTCTGGTTTTGAGCGGACTGGCCCAGCCGCCACTCCACAAAGGCCGTTTCTTGACGTAGGAGTGCTTTTTACTTTCCCATCTCAGCTACCTGGGGTGGGCAGGCGCCAAAGCAAACCAGCGGCCTCAGGAAAGGACTCAGTGCTGCAGAGGTATCTTGATGAGCTAGTCTGGCTCGAAATTTCTTCCTCAGAGGCATATTAACCCCACTGGATCCAAGGGCAGCGACTGCCCATCGCTGAATGAAGCCTTCCAATCACCCATCGGGGTGCTTCCGATGGGTGCGTGGCAAGGCACCTGCTGGGCTCCCTCCCAGTATTAGACCTCACGCCACAGTCTGCCGGCAGCAGGATCGCCTCACCTGACATAAGGGAACCTGCCAACTCTCTCAAGCCAAGACAGGCACAGAAGGATGGGGAGGGTGGTGGGGAAATGGCAGAACACCACCTGAGATGCCTTTGATCTGAGTCGGCAATCATTCAAGCCCACGTACTTGAGCAGGCTTCTACTGCACGCAGGGACATGGCTTGGTGGTGGACATGGCAGCAGTAGGTTAACGGTTGGACTCGATGATCTTAGGGGTCCTTTCCAAGCTAAATCGCTCTGTGATTCTGTGACTTAAGCAGACGGAAGTGTTGGGTGCCATGCAGATGGGATGGGCTTCACCTGGCAGATGGCACAGGTGCCTTGTCCTGCTTCACCAGGGCTCTGCATCCCTCGCCTTGCCCGTTTAACGGAACAGAGCAGCTGAGGTAAAGATACACTCCATTTCCTGTCTCCCTCCCTTCTGGCAGTATTTAGGTGTGCCCTCCATATTTTGAGAACATGCTCCTTTAACGCTTGCACTTTCTTCGGTTGTTTTTTTGGGGTTTTGGTCTTTTAAAATTCTTCCTTGCTCGCATTTCTTTCTTACGCAATTTATTCCTTCCTTGTTGAGGCAACTTCTCAGTAGAAAATAGCAAAATCAACATCACCAGCCTGCTCGAATTCCCTTAGCATGCTTGCTGCTCCGTAAGAGCCATGTGGAGAGCTCGTTTCCATAATAGACTGGAAAATTGTTTGCTCTTCTACCAGTTGCTGATTTAAGTGTTTTCCTTAAGCCAAATCTTGCATGGAAAAGAGTATCCAATCATTCAAGCCGTTTGCACTGTCTTCCTTCTGCATGTCTCATCTCCTCTCTTATATCCAAGCAACAAGCTGAGGGCTCATGTTCAACTGCCTGGGATGGGAGAGTGGAGAACTACCAGAGACCTCATTTATGCACACAAGAGAAAAAAAAAAAAAATCTTTCGTTTACAGTCTTTACAGTCTTCAATTTACAGTCTTTACTGTCACAGTTTAAAGCCTACAGAAGCTTACCATTGCCATAACCACACTGAAGCAAAAAAGCTACATCAAAAATGAGTCAATTGTCACTGCAAAATTTTACTCCTGAATGCAGGCTGATGCTTTTTCTCCCCAGACAAGGAATGCAATATTCCATTGAAACAGCAAGAGAAGGCAGATTTAATGATTATTAGGCATAAGCATCCCAAACAAGCATAACTGGAAAATAATAAGGTAACTAATATTTTGGGGAAGTTGCTAATTGAAAAAAAAATAACAGAGACACACAGGCAAAAGAAGTCTAGTAATAACTCTTCAAAAGAGAGTAAGCTGGAGTCTGGCATGGATCCCCACAGCTTCTGAGCTTGTTCAATTAAAATCAACACTGAATGGGTTTTCTTTCTCTTCCATTACTCAAGCTGCATTCTTCAAAGGGATAGCAAATGAGTGATATGCATATGAAAGAACCATGGAGTATGAAATTACAAAATGATACAGGGTTTGGATATTTGCACTTTGAGATATTAAATCTTCTGAAGGAAAATATTTGAGCAAATTCTAAATAAAGAACCCAACAGAGGAGGAAGGAAGAGCTGCGAGATAAATCTAATAAAGAAGAGACTAAGCAATTTCCAAGCGCTATTGAATTGCTCGGTTCAGCCATGACACGGCAGTTCCAGTCTAGGATTCCCTCCTTGGTCTGCTCAGGGCAGTGAGCACCTTGCAGTGGCCTTTCAGACCCAGCTCGCTGCGCACGGCTGCTGGAGCAGTCTCTGGGCAGCGCTTGCACCCTTCCTGTGCGGATTTTCCTCCCACCAAGGCAGGGGGGGTCCCCCCAGCTGACCTGCTGGGGCCCCCCGCTGCGGTCTGGGGGTGGCAGGGGCTCCTGCCCCGCGTGCCAGGGCTGCGCTGAGCACTCGGGATCGCTCACAGCCCCCTCCCTGCCACCCTTTCCAGAGGTTTAGAGGTGCTAAAAGTCACGTCCTTGCTCCCTGATGCCCACCTCCTTTCCTTTTTGCGGGCACCGCGTTGCTGCCCGGCTCTGCAGCCAGCAGTCAGTCCTTCCCCTGCCACAGGCACCACTGCCCGGGGTGTACATCTCTGCTTTGGCATCCCTGGCGCTTGCCTTGCATGGCCAAAGCGGGTGAGGAGACCTAACCAAGGTGTGCCACGGTTCATTTGGATCTCTCAAATTTACAGGGCAAAATACTCTGTAAATTAAGCTTTATTTTATGAGCTCATTAAGAAATACAATAAACAAACAAACGCAACAAACAAGGGCTTGATCTGCTTTCCCCAGATGAGTCTGGCAGCCCGCTTTATTTTTAGTACTATGTACAGTTTAAAGGGCATTAAAAGTCACCTGATTGGCACTGAACCATCTTGTATTTTCAGGAATATGCTGCATGGAAAACACTTAGACACTTGCCTTAGAAAACTCCTAGCCCTGACGGTCTCTCTAATCACACAATACTTCCATGCTGTGTTTAAAAATCTCAGAATGCCATGACTTGATGGTAATTAGCGATAATTGTTTCACACACAAGCACTGTATTTGACTAATAACTCCCTTTACAAGAGTCAGGGAGATCAGGGACGCCTGGGTCAAGAACCGTCGCTGCTAATTACCCTTTTACTCCTCCTGTTGCTAACACAAGCTTCTCTGTGGCTTGTGCTGGTGTTGGCCTTTCGAGGACAGGATGCTCAATCCTGCAAGGTCTCGAGTGCCACAGCACCATGCTCTGACAGCAGAAGCAAGTGCTGAATCCCAGGTCCCCTTCGAAGGTGGCAAACACGGGTTGTCATTTAAGGAAAAGAGGTAGGTATATCATCCCTGCTCTGACCTGCCACAGAGAGCAGGCCAAGACCCACACGCTTGTGGGTTTTGCTGCTGTTTGAAGTTCTTCTGGAGACATACCCAGGCTGGGCTAAAGAAAAACAGCTTCAATAGACAAAATTCAAATGGCTGCTTGGGTAAGTTGCTCCAATGACTTACTATCCTTATTGTTAAAAATGTGCGTCTTCTACTTTTAAGTTTCTTACTGTAGCTTCCAGACTTTTTTTTTTTTTCTTTTTCCCTTGTTTTAATGGCTAGCCCTTAAAGAGAAATGTTTCTCAGGCACTGGGTAATGTTTGCTAGTGTGCTGTGTATGGCCACGGGATAATAGGAAAGGGTCAGGAGATACAAAGATGTGTACTGCCATCTTCAGCCAAAAACCCCCTCTCTTCCCACTCACAAGCTGTCCTGCCCTGCGAGGTCACATGCCTGCAGCTCTCGAGACTTGCACAGGGGAAGCTGGAGAACAAAGGCAGTGCTGATAATGCCACACAGGCTTGAGAAAACATGGCTGCAAAAAAAGGGGTTTATCATCTGAAGAGTTTGAGAAACTCTGCAAACCAGAGGAGATTAGTTATCAGATGGTTTTCCCCTTGTGTCCGTGCTGCCAGGTCGCACTGGGGTTGCACCGTTGTCCCCTCTGGGAAATGGGTTTCCTTTGTCCAGCGAGACCCCACTCTGGGGCACTTCGGCCCCTCCAAGAGGTGGGGTGTCCGCTACCTGGGGGGGGGGTCACCCCAACCCTCCCAAACTGGGTCGAGGGCTTGGTCACTGCGGCCTCGTGGAAGAGGGTTCTTGGAAACCGCTGCCCAAGCATGGGGAGAGGCCAGGGGGTTCCAGGCTTCGCCTCGCTGCGATGAACAGACCTCGCAGGGCACAGCGAGCACCCAGCCCCACATCCACCTGCCTCCCCACGCCCACTAGGCCCCCGTCCCCTGCCCCGGCTGCTGCCAGGGAAGGTCAGGGGCTCTTGGGTCACCCGATGTGCTGCCACAGAGGCAGGCACCCCATGGGCA